GTAGGAACACAGCCCTCACACTTTCCTAGCTGGCTAGTGGTCACCAGCGTGCTCAGGGACTGGTTACTCTCTGGTGTGAAAATATGCTCGGGTACTAGAGGGTTTATGCTGAGAAAGGTCTGTCTTCCTTTTTTTTTGATATTTTTTTTTCCTCCATCTCCTCCTAGTAAAGGGATTGGCATCTTTATTTCTTTAACCCTGCCAGCAGGCACATGTTAGAGCAACATATGTACCAAATTTGCAGTGTGCTTAATAAAAATAAGAAATGAGAAGTTTGGGGTTTTTTCTTCATTCAAATGGGTTAAAAGATGAAATCTTCAAAACCAAATGTAATTAAGGTTGCAGAAATGCATGCTAATATTTCAGAGATGCCATCAAAACTTGATTGCATATAAATAAGAGATGTTAGCTGGACTGTTTTACAAAATCCTGAGCTGTGCTTTTACTTGCTTTTTGAATACTCAATTCCAATTTACTTGAATGCAAGAACTTTCTGTTTGAGTGCCAGGCCAGAGTAGATGATTTAGCAGGGTGAGTATGAGATGAGCTTGGTGCAATGGAAGTGGGACATTCTACAAATAATCAGTGCTGTTTCAGAGACTCTGAAAACTAAAAAGTTGAATCTCTGTATTTTTTTTCTGAGAAGCTGAAAGCATATTTTTTCTGAAGAGACCAACTGCAGTGGATTTAGTGTTAATTTAATGCAATTAAAATTTAAAAAGGATCCTTAATCTGAATATAAAAGAGAGTGCTTTATTGAAGTTGACTCTGAACTCACAATAGGTATATACTTTTAAATCTGGTTTTATGATCATGTTTCATTCAAGTGCTGTTAGACAACAAAGGAATTGTGTTTCCAAAAAAAGGTTGAACAGTACTGATTAGCATTGCAAAGTCTGCGTTTAACAAGATTAGTTTTTAAACTAAACCAGTATATTTTAATTTTTTATATGCATGGATTTAACGTACATGGTGAATAACATCTCCTTATAGAATTTTAAGTATTTGAGACTCGTTATTGTTTAAAGAAAAGTTGCTGACTTCATCGCAAGTGTAGCCTAGTAAAAATGGGGCCTGGAATAGTAAACTGTTGCAGAGTTGAGGCAGACACTGGTAACCTTCTGACCTCTGACTTTTACTGGAAAATGATATGCAACATAAATTCAGGGGGCCTTTTTTCTTTCAAGTATGTATACGTATATATTCTAGTGGTGCTGTTCACAATGCTATAGTTGAAGTGGTGTCAATTTGTTCATTAGAGCCCCTTGCTTTTGGAGCAAACTTTAAATCCATGGGGTTTTTTTAAGGCTGAAAAAGCTGCTTCAAAAATAAGCTTTGAACTAAAATGTGGTGTTTTGAGAGGGTTTTTGTATTCATTTAGAGCTGTTCTTTTATTAGACGGATGTGCGTGTGTTTATGTGGTTATGTGCGTGGACAAAACATCTGTGGGGAGGCTTGCCAGAATGCTCCTAGACCACGTTGGAAATTGAGCTTAGTTCCTGGTGTACTTTGAAAGATTTTCAGACTTTATTTTCTCCTAAATGTGGCATTTTTAGTAGTCTGGAGTGCTTGTCATATCTGATGTCTATTGCCACCCTGCAAGAAGTTCCTAGCAAGGTGCATGCTGCAGCCTCAGTCAGGAAGGGTTTTTTAAAGTGACTTTCAAGCCTGAGTCCTAGGAAGTATCCACAGAAGGAACTTGTCAGTGATGCTTTAGTCAGTTCTGAAACTGTTACCCAAACCCCAGTGGTTTATTTGGGCTGGGATTGCTGCCAGTGCTTGATGGAGAACTGTTTTGTGAAGAAGGCTCAGTGCATTAAAACTTTGGAGAAGAGTAACAAAAGTGGGAATTTGATAACTGGAGCTCTCATGTCAAGTTTGGGAAAGGAATTTTAGAAAAGAGATCCTGTCCTGGGAGTCTCTGTTACCAAGACTTGCCTTCGGGCCACTTGCCACCTTTGGAAATGGCATTGTTTTTGAGGAACAGGAATGTGGTAATGGTAGCATTGTCTTGCTGAGCCTTGCTTTATGTCTTGTTTACATGAAATGCTCTGAAGGTTGATATTGTGGGAGAAACTCATTTGTTTAAGCAAATCCATGCCTGCATGTATACCTTCTATAAAAAAACCCTCCAAAATGTGATTTTAGCATTTCGCTATGGGGAAGAAGTCAAAAAATACAACCCTGAAGGACTGAAATGGAAGAGAACTAAAAGATAGCCTGCCTCTCCCCAACTGCATTTAATTTCCAGATGCTGTGATTTGGTGGCTTTTTCTTCTGTGGCCTGATGTTAGGAGTGCAACACTGTGGTTAAACCCCTGTGTTCACACCTGCTGGGTGCTTTTCTTGGCAGCAGAAGGAGCCAGCATGGCACTGCCATAGCAGCCAGGTGCTGTGGAGGGGTGGCAGCAAAAGGCTGGGGACACACATGCTTGTGCTTGCAAGCATAGGAGTTAACTTGGAATGCATGCGTTGCATGACATATATTCAGTATATTATGGGCTTCCCTATTTTTAGGAGTTTGTAAAAGTTCCTTTTGGTTCCTTCCATCTGTCAAGATCACGTTTGCCATTTAAAAAAAAAAAAAGGAAAAAAAAAAAAAAAGAAAAAGAAGCAAATCTGATCACCAGAAATAAAACACTCTAAAACTGTCTGGTTTCAGGTTGTTCCCACAACCTACTTCCCTCGTTGGGGCAGGTAAAAGCACCTTCTGGGCCAGGTTTGCAACCTGGCTGAAAGTATCACAAAGGTGTAAATGTAAGCTTTGCATTTTCAGAGAGGCACACAGACTGGAAAACTTAAGCCTTTAGCAAGACTTAGCCCTTAACCCAGAGTATGTTAAGGTCTATTTTTGGACTTTTTTGAGATTTTTCTTCATTGCCTTATTCACTACAAATCTTGCAAAGTGTATTTTTAACCTATTTATGTCCCAGTGTAAAACGCCTATCAAATGATTGCCTTTGAAATCAGGAGAGATGGTCTTTCATGTAAACATTTTAAAGTCTTCTTCAATGTGTAAATTTATTTACTTAGTAAATAGTAATAAATCCCAGCTGCTTCGATCTATTGCAGGAATCCATATTTAACTGCTAGGGACCTGTTCTGAGGTCTCGTGCCACTGAACAGCAGGATATGTTATTGCATAGTACGTTGACACAACTTCTTCTAAAGGCCTGGTATTGTGTCATCATAGGGGATAGTTATAGTGCAGGAATGCAGAATAATATTATGAAAAAGTTTTCCCATTGCTCTGAACTTAATGGGAAAGGCCTTTGGAGGTCTGTCACCAAATGGTGGTAAGAGATCTGAATTTACGTAGTGGAGAAATAATTCACTAAATTCTATTTAAAAGAAGAGAAGCAAATTCTTATGTACAGGCAGGTGATGGTGAGCTCATGGCAGCACTATTTTACCTTACTTTGTCTCATAACTTCAAAAGATTCCTGTTTGGGATATTGAGAGATCTGCTTTGTTTGTTTTTCAAATAGTGAGACCAGGAAGATGCTGAACAAAGCCTTGGTACAGTCACTTTTAATCCAGAGTGGAGTTCTTTATTTCCCATGTTTAGCTCTCCTACACAGCTTAAAAGAAAAAGAAAAATAATCCATCAGTGTCACCTTATTTGTGTGTATTGTTTCTCTCTTTTATTTTCCCCCAAGCCTCAGCCTGCATTCAAAGCATTTTTTTAACCTCCAAATAATTGTTGCTCCTTCAAGCCAGGAGTAGAAAGCAGCAATATTTCTTTATAAAAATGTATCAATGGCTGCGATGGTTTATTTTTTTTCAAGGTTTTGTAGGAGTTTGAGCAACCTATAGGCAAAAAGGCAATCGGGTTTATTATTGCTGGGAATCTCCAGGCGGTTGTTTGGAGGCTGCAAAGGCAGGCAGCAGAGCCGGGAAGAGGGGGAGAGAAGGGCCACATTATGTTCCAGATGACTGAGCAAGGATTTATATACCAGCTCGCCTTTTTTTTTTTTTTTTTTTTTTTTTTTTTAACATGGGAGAAGAAAAGTAATAAGAGCGGGGAGGCATTTGAAGCGGTCAGATGGCCGATGACTAATGGGATAGGTGGGCAGGAGCCCTTGGATTGGGTGTCTTAATGAGCACATTTCGCACCGAGTTTGGGCTGCAGTTCCCCTTCACCTTTGCCCTTTATTGACCGAACTGACACTTCATTTTTCACATACTTCCAATTATGGCTGAGCTTAAGTATCGCCCTGCCTCCTTTCTTTCTTGCCTATGGATGGCTTGAGAGTGGCTAAGGCCACAGAAGATATTTTAATTTGAAAAACTACCATAGCAAGGCAGGTTTAGGGTGTAACCTGAAACTGCTGTCACTTGGCAGTTTCTCCGATGAAAACAAAAGTTTTAATGTTTCTTGTTCAGCGCTTCACCACCAGTCCCCCACCATTTTCTGTGGTGGTGTGGGGAATTGCTTTGGGGGCGATTGGGTTGGTGAGGGGTGTTTTCCTTGGGGTAAATCTTTACTGGCTGTACAGGTGTCATGGGCGGGAGTCACTGAAGTAAAGAGGTAAACCCAAATTAAAAGCAGCGCCATGCTTGCTTTCCTTCTCAGTGCAGCATCTTCTCCAATGGATTCTTGTAGTGTAATGCCCTGCAATGTCCTTTGCTGGACTTTCCCCTTATGGAAAAGGAAAGCATAATTGTGCTTGCACTCCTCGAGCCTTAGGCCAGTGTGGATTTGTTGTTTTGGTAATATTTAATGCATGAATGCAGATTTGAGTATGGCCTGGCTGTGAAGCTTTGAGAAGTGGCTGAAAATTATGCTGGGAGAGGCTGGTAGGATGAAGAGGCGGAAAAATCTGCAGTCACCCCTTTGCTGTGTGAGGAGAGCCATGATATATCTCCCACTGCTCAAGCCTGTGTGCATTTCCACGTTGGCTTTTACATGCAGAATCCTTCCAGGGCGGAAATGTCTGTTTGCTTTCGCAGGGCTTAGGGGGTTTCAGAGCATGCGGTTTTCCTACCAAATGTGGATT